TTGGGGTATCTCCAAGGAAGATGATTGCATTTGTGATTTCTGCATTCATCTATTCACCTAGAAAGTAATAGTCCGTCGAGACAAGACCGGACACTAAAGCAGATTAGGAGCGCAGATGAAGAAATGGCTTTAGAATAGACTATACACCCCTTCGAATTAGAAATAAAATGAGCGACAACTGATTGTTCCCTGATTAGAAGGAAGTGAACGCAAAACTAAAACGCTCTAACCAGCAGTTGTTTTTACTACATCGTAAGGGGGTCGGGATAGCAATAACCGTCGACAGCACAGAGTGCATGCAGGGTGTTTTTCTAAAGTTTTCACTTGCGTGACTTGTTCCCCATAGAACATCGGAGCAAAGACTATGGGAGACGAATTTTGGTCTGAAGAACTCTCCGGTCTGTTGTTAATGGTGAAAACCAATTATATAAAAATGAAAAATAAAGAGACTGTACGTACGAGGGAAGTAGCAAAACTTACTTCGTTCAAGTCACTGGCTGCTCGCCGCAATGAGAAGAAATTAGATTCACCCGACGGGACAAGAGTTCCGCGTTGATCTTGTCTGGGAGTACCCGCAGCGCTGCGGGGCAACGCAATCCTTGACTGTGAACGATTTCGCAGTCGCGTCCCCGAATCTACTTCGTCCTCAGCCAACGCTCCGTTTAGATCAAGTGACACGGAATCCTCTTCCTCTTCGGTATTAAAAATTGGATGCCGGTCGGCATTCACCCGAGAGAACTCAAAATTATTTGACTCATCCACCGGCATTTCAGACCAATCCGTTGTGGTAGGCATGCTGGCCACTTGGGATATGTTGGGTGTACGCGTTCGATCGGTGCTGGATGCGCTCACGCGTCCACAGGACCCATCCCCGTCGACCAGTGAGGTCTTTGGCAATCCGATAGCAACCGGACTGGCCACAGAGGTGACATGCACAGATGATTGGGACAGAGCGGTAGCCGCTGGCAACGGTACCGGGGGACCAGGTAGATAATTTACGGCTGCATCTGTAAATGATTTCGGACGAGCGCGTACTGTAGTAGCTTGGCCTGAAAAAAGAATTACATCATAGAGTAGGCAATAAATCGATCCTTAAAAGAATGCTAGAAACAACGGGTTTGCTGATGTCGTTCCGTAAACATACAGCGAAGGGGTAGTTGTACACATTGTGAGACTGTAGGATGATGAAATTTCATTTAACCAAAGCACGGAATCGAATAAAAATTGATGCCAGTCAAGAAATTTAGTTCTGTGATTCACACACGTTCAGCGACAAAAAAGCGTGACCTTCGAATGAAAGCGGAATAGTAAACAGTTGAAGTCCATACATTCTACTCGCGCGCATCACGTGATCAACACGGTAGTAAAACAGAGTAATGCATCGTGTAAAACCAAATCGAGGTAATTAGTGTCCAGAAGGTTTAAAACAGAACGATGTCAAAATTAAGCGATAGTTTCTACAAAATGAGTGGACAAGTTTACAGAGTAATCGATGATGAATGTATTCTACAACAAGCAGAAGCAGTGGAGAGCAAAACCGATTGGAATGGGCAGTTAACAACTCACTTGGGTTGCGTTTACCACGACGGGTTTTCTTTTCATCAGGGATACTGGCCAAGTCCACTCCGTAAACGAGACGAGCCAGAGTGCTGGTCAAAATCTCCATTGTTGTCTACGTCAATGAACGCATCGGAACGGTGGATCAATTCAGATTCTCATGTGCATTAACAGAGATTACTATGAACACAAATCTTTGTGGCATTTCCATCATACACCGTACAGTTCTGTTCGCGGTGTTTTCTCTACTGACCGCCAGGGTGATGGTGATCAAATGAAGCAGAGGGGTAGTATGACTGACCATATAAAGAAAGGGAGACTGATGACTGCAGAATCTCAATAATCAGACAGCGAAATAATGAAGGTAACAACCAGCCAGATAGTGAAAAAGCGGCTGTTGAATTACCAATCCTGACATCGTTGACTGAGTGATGATCCGGGTTGCGAAATTGTTATGCAAATCGACAAGTAACAGATGAAAAGCATCCGTAACTTGTACGGTTTAGAACGTCGGAGGATAAAAATGGATGTACCAGAATCAGTCTGAAAACCGACAAAATGTCAAAGGGAAACAAACGAGTACTGGAAA